GGGGGGGGAGGCAATTAGTATGGTGAAATGTCAAATGCTACTAAAATACATGGTACTAAAATGATAAGTGCAATAACAATAGGAAGCATTCCCATTCAACAGAATTGCATCAAATCTTGGTTTATTTAATTCAATTCAATTCAATTCAATTTACTTACAAGCCCGTAAGGAATAGATGTTACTTATCACTTGATAATATTAATTTTGTCAGTAAAGTTATATTTACCGTTAATTGTTTTGAACCTGCTTTCAAATACTTGAGAAGGAACTACTTGAATCTGACTTTCAGGGTCAATAGATTGTCTGTTCAGGGAAGCTGCAAGTTTTTTTCTAAATACATGATTTGGAGTTCATGTATTAGGGTCTTTGCATGCTGCTAAAAGACTAGGATATTTAGTGGCAGTCAAATTTACATGATCTACTAAGTATACGGATTTAGCCATTAAAGCCACACCACTTCTAGGTACTGCTACTCCAGGATGAGCCTTGGCAGTATATAGAATATTACTAATCGATTAAGAATATTCTTAGGTGTGTATACCCTTAAATCAGTAAATTTAATTTTAGCTTCATTAAAACTAAGTTTTCTAAGAATCAGACCTTTTAATGGTGAACCAGTTAATTCCGCTTCTCTAACTGTTTTAACAAAAGTCCTTTACCGTGAATAGATTTGTAAAATTTTATGAATTGTAATTTACTAGTAAATAGCCAATTCTCATTGGAATCTAAAATTGTTACAGCAATACCTGCCCGGGTTCCCCGGGCTGGTGAACTTACTGTACCAGTAGTATTAATAATCTCAATAGGTTGACCATAATAATTAGATTTGGCCTGTTGGAATTGTAACTTTAAATCCTTAAGCTCAATAGGATCTTCAATAGCATTTGGGTATAATTCTGTAGATAGATGAAATTTATTCCAAACCTTCCCGTCTGATAGAGTCAAGAAATTAGTCACACTCTTTAAAACTAAGCCCATAGCATTAGCTGCTTGTGTTTTAGATAAAAATCTAGCATACAGTAATTTTCTATCAATTGAATAAATATAACACGGTTGACCTTGTACTGAAATCTGAGCGTCCTTTTGCTCTTGCGTAAAAAATGTGTTACCACCAGATCCTGCTACGGGTACTGTGTTTAATACAGGCCGTAAACGAAACATATGGCATTGTTCTAATGCGATGTGCATCTTCCCATCTCTATTAAGCTCAGACGTAATAGGATAAATCGTCACTTTCCAGTCAGATAAAGTATCATTTTTCTTAGCTTCCTGTAAGAGTTTAGATGTTCTACTATATGAAATCTTACTGGGCTTAAAATAAGAAAGAACTCATGTAGAAAGTCTTAGCGAGCGAGTACTTCCCACTCGCTCGCTAGTTTCCCCAGTTGAGAATTTTGTAAAAATGTAAACTCCAGGTACACTAGGGTTTTTTTGGTCTGTGAAACCTGCAAGACTATTCCATTTGTCACGTACAGGACCATATTTTGGAATAGGTAAGTAAAAATCATAACCCGGAAGTTCAGATAAATAATCGAATTCCTCTTGGGTTAACTTGATATTATTATTACTTTGAACAGTATTAATAATGTCTAATGTAGGTGGCAAATTAGCTTTCATATGTCTAAAAGCTAATGTATTTACATTATTTGTAGGCCCACCAGTATCCTTCTCTAACACATACTTCAAAAATTTGTTTAGGTCAAATCCATCAGAGTCACTTACTCTCTTATTTCTTAGACCACTAGTATTATAGAATCTACATCATACCAGATTCACGGATTTTTTAGTCATGCTAGGACCCTTAAAGGTAGTAGATAAATGGGTTTTATCCTTGGCTGGATATTCATTGCCTCCGTTATTTGTAGTATCAAGCCCCGGCTCGTGAAAAGAAGGACATAGCTCAAGCCCGTTCATGAAAAGGGAGTAATATAAAAAATTACTAAAATAAAAACTAATAAATTAACCAAAGACATTAATACCTGATATAAAGAAAAAAGATAAGTAACAGAAATACCTTCAGACATAAATAAAGAAATGGCTTCTAAATTTCTAAACCCAACAATAGAACCAAGGATAACTAAATATCGCGCCCAGGTTGCTGGGCGGGTAAATTCTCTAAACATGGGCCCACTAGGATTATATGTCTTACTGTTGAGAATTTCTACTTCTTTTTTGGGGACACATGTATATAGTCATAGTACTAAAAAAATAGAAATACACAAAGAGATACTTAAGTATCCAAGTAATCAGAACTGTTCAAGTCATAGAAGGGATAAAATATTTACTACGCTTATAAATCCTATGATTTTAATAGCTCATAAAGATCTTGATAATCAAGAAACTACCATATACGATAGGCTAGCGAATACGGACATTGTATTATGATTAATTAAGCTTTTAGCAAACATATTTAAAATACGTAGGATTAAAAATAAACTAGTGGTCCCTAGGGCCTTAGCATAACTAAAAATTAAAAAAATCTGATTAAGCATCCATAAAATGTTCGCTTTAATTTTCAATCAAGTCCGATTGAGTACCACTCTAATAATTAAGCCATTTAATAATAAGGGGGCGATGTCAAATGCTACTAAGATACATGGTACTAAAATAATTAACGCGATGACAATAGGTAACATACCCATTCAACACAGGTGCATAAGTTGATCATAACGTAGTCTAGGTAATGTAGCTCTAAATCATACAAAAATGAAACAGAAAATACAAGTTTTAAGAGCTAAAACAATACTTTGAATATTAATAAAAGTATCATTAGACACAATTTCAGGCATAATATAGCCACCTAAAAATAGAATAGCACTAAATGAAGACATAAGTACAATGCTACAATACTCGGCTAAGAAGAAAAACACAAAAATAATACTACTATGCTCAGTAAAGAATCCCGCTACTAATTCAGATTCCGCTTCAGGTAAATCAAATGGTGTACGATTAGTTTCGGCTAATACTGAGATGAAAAATACAATGAATAATGGTAGAAGTGGGATAATAAATCAAACACTCTGTTGACTTTCGATAATTGACGTGTAGTGGAAAGTTCCCGTTAGTAAAATAACAGCTAGAACTGCAGAACTAAGAATTAATTCATAACTAATCATCTGAGCGGTACTTCGTAATGAGCCTAAAAAAGCATATTTAGAGTTTGCAGATCACCCTGCAAATAAAATTCCATAAACACCGATTGATGAAATAGCTAATGAGTATAAAATACCAAGACTAAAATCACTTAAGGCTAAACCACTTCCAAATGGGATTACTGCTCAACCTAGAAGACTGAAAATTAAACTAATTACGGGTGCTAAAAAGAACAAACTTCTTGTTGCGTGTTGAGGTACAACTGTTTCCTTAACAACTAGCTTTAGGGCGTCGGCAACGAGCCACGGTTGTCTAATTTTATACTAATTTCTATATTTACTTTGGTTAGAGTTCTTTTTTCTGTTGAGGAAAAAGCTGGGCGCTATACAAATAGCCTTTGAAAGCCTTACCTGTATCTAGCCCTTTTTCATCTAGATGAAAAACATAAGGGAGGAATCCTTAAAGTGCTAGGTTTTTAACTAGTTAAAAAAGAGAAAATAGGCATATCTTTACATGTGGCCCTAATGCTTCTAAAAGGTTTATTATTAACTAATTGAAATGTTTGAGCATCATAAGCATAAATAACAGTATCCTATTTTCAGCAGCTAAATCTGAAGCCTTTTCCCAGGTCCCTTACCAAAAAGGATTTAACGCTCCCAGGCCTTTTTTGTTTGGCCTTTTTCTAAAAAAGAGACAAAAAACCTAGGGGGAGTGATGCACTCTTTTTCATACGAGTTTCGAGAGTGTCAGATCTACCCTTCCCTTAAGGGAGTAAGAGCTATACTGATCTTAGACCGTGTCAAATTAGAGATGGACCCATATACACGAGGATCATTATAACTTTTAGTTAGAACATTAAGTAATGGCATAAAGGTTCACAAATATCAATTTCTCTTTGAGCCAGATCTTCACTGTTCCCACTGCAGTGGGAAAGGACATACTTCTACAACTGTAATTGAAAAATTAGACCAGCCAAACATCTGGCCTTTTTTATTTGGTAAAAAAATAAAAGTAGTTAAAAACCTAGGGGGAAAATAAACCTAAAAAGTTAGTCTGTTTCGAACCATTAAAGAAATGATACTTGAATCGACTATCTAAATCTGAAGAAGAACCGTAGTAAGTGAATAATCTAAAAGGCAGAAATGTAATCTTGTAAATTTCACTCACACCCATTCAATTTTTCCTAAATTGCGTTAAATCTTTAGGTACATTTCTACTCCTTTTTTTTTTACTAGTTAAAAAAGGCAGTGAAACAGCTTTGTGCTTCTTAAATCTTGAGATACGGGATCAAGACATGTACTTAAGGACATGGAAATACATTTCTTTGTCACTAGTAAATGGAATTATAGCCATACTCCCCTTAGGGGGGTCAAATGTTTTGTTTTTCAATGTTGGCCCCTAGCCCTTATGTTTTTCATCTAGATGAAAAAGGGAGTGTAATAAAAACATAAATAAGATAGAAATTAGTACAATTCATGCAACACATTGTGGGCAGATCATATCATCATGCGTTTGATTCTTATTTTTCTTCTTTCGTTGTTCAGAGAAAAAACTAAGAGGAAATAAGTACATCTAATCAAAAGCACGCAGAACGTGTGATCGTTGAGGGTCGACTAAATAAATCTTCCCTGCTGATTGTACTCGCTTCGTTTTTTCTCTTTCCCTTTTCTTTCCTTTTTCTCTTTTTTGTCTAGACAAAAAGGACAAAAAGGACAAAAAAGAAACAAAAAAGTAGTTAAAAACCTAGGAAATCAGAAAAAAAAAAAGAGAAAATCTAAAAAAAGTAAAGTATATCCCAGCATATAGTTCTGTTTTCACTTATCTCTTACAAGACAAGGCCGCTTGCAGACCTCTTACGAAACGGTTGCATAATCCCAAAGTAACCTACTACATTAGGGCCTACTCTACGTTGCATACTGGCAAGTACTTTACGCTCAATAATTGTCATGAAAGCCACAGAAAGTAAAATGGGGACTAGGACAATAAGGACTTCAAGTAAACTATATAAAACAGATAACATACTAAATTTGTCAAACAAACGATCACTACAACGATTCCCATCGATGTTCCCATCTGTTCCCATCAAAGATGGGAATGGGAATGGGAAAGAGGTGAAAAGAGAGATAATGCGCATGCGAGTAAACTATAGTTAAAGTTGGGATGATATTAAGGAGGAACCTTTCACTGTTTATCTCTACTTTCCTCTCGATTCCTTTTGCCTTTCTTTAGTTTTTACTTTTATGTTTTATTTTATGTCCTTTTTGTCCAGACAAAAAGTAAAAAGTGAGATAAAATTAAGTAAGAAAGTCGGGAGTAGTTAAAAAATGAAAGAAAAGGATTATAAATAAACAAAGTCAGCAAAGAGGATATTTAGGGTAATGCCTATACTTAATATGACATCATGGGTCTAGCAAGTAAAATAAGGGAGTTAAAAAAATAGCCTATCTTATATATATTAGCTCTATTTTATTTTTTGCCCTTTTCTAAAAGTGGGGAGTAGTTAAAAAGGCCAAAGATAAGATCTAAGCCTATTAAGATATAAGAAAGTTAATTTAACGAAGGTTAACTGATTATCAAGGGCCTAAAAACTTCAAGGCTAAAATTTAACTGCCCTTCCCTTAAAGGAAAGGAAAAACAGATACTAAATAATGTGAAATATTTACTCTAACGTTAAGGAAAAGTCTGTACAGTTATTGAATTTATACTTTTCTAAAAATATGAAACCAGTACTAGGATCAAGCAGTACGAGACAACTTATTCTTTCTAGCCTTATGTAGTCTCTACAAAAATGGTAGATACCCCACCATTTTAAAGATAAACATAAAGCAAATCGTAATTGGTAAAGACTGTTCTTTACCTTTCAGGTTAAAAAAGAAAGAGAAGGAGTGGTCGCAAGTATGTCGTAATTGGTAGCCGAACAGTTCTTAGGAAACTGTGGTTTATAACCGTGTGGGTTCAAGTCCCACTACTTGTATTTATTTAGCCCTCTTGATTTATTCCTTTTCTTTCCTTTTTTTTTTAATGAGTCGGCTCTAAAATAAATCGAAGAGCGAGAGGCGATAAGAAGAAAGTAAAGGCCACAGACAAACCAACCCTGGTAAAAGGGCGAAATCAAAAAGGGGGTATAGTATAATGGCATTACACTGTGTTTGCATCACTGTTATAGGCGTTCGATTCGCCTTATCTCCAGCCCGACTCTTTTTTGATGTGCAAAAAAAGAAGGGATTGATATCTTTTCCTTTCTTTTAACCTGAAAGGATAAAGAATAGGGAATGGCCTTAGTAGCATAAAGGTAATGCACTTGATTGAAGATCTCGGTATTTAAAGTTCGATTCTTTTCTAAGGCAATCGCTCTATGATTTAAGCTCGACTTCCTATTTTATCGGTCCATCTGTTACTTGACTTAGAAAAAGGGAAGAAAAAAGTCCAAAGCTAGTTATTCTCCCTTTTCATGAACGGGCTTGATATTTATTCATCCCGCATGCTATTATTTATGCTTTCGCCTGTGACTAAAAAAGGGAAACAAGTGACTTGTAATTGGGTAGTTTCCTAGTTGGTTAAGGAGATTTACTGTAAATAAATTGGTACTGCCATCGCATGTTCGAATCATGCCTACCCAATAACGCACTTGTGACCAAAAAAATATAGCGCCCAGGTTTCTTTTTTTTTTGAAGCGAAAAAAAGCTGGGCGAGTGATAAGCGCTCATAAATACGGGTGGTAACTGTATCCTTACGATTACCTGCCGGGCCCCTTTTTTTTTGATGCTTCAAAAAAAAACAGGCTGGTAGTCGTATGCTGCCCCCTTTCCCTTTTTTAACTTGTTAAAAACTTTTTTAACTTGTTAAAAACTTTTTTAACTTGTTAAAAACTTAAGGGGGTAGAGGCCTGCCTGCTTATCTTAACATTAGGATGCGTCTGTCAAGTCTAATTACGTTAATAATTATGTTAGGGTATAAACCATATTGCCTATTTATAATTATTCGGATAGTTGTAATGTGCTTCTGTAGTTCTTCATAAATTTATAGGCACCAGCTAAATGTTTTCCCCCCTAGGGCGAAATCTTAATGCTGAATTAAGGCCCGACTCTTTTTTTAGAAAAAGGCCAAACAAAAAAGAAGGCAGTACTACCAATATAAACCTTTCCTGTAGCTCTACATCCTGACCCGCAGAGCAATGCTTTTCCCAGCCCACGTCCTTTTATCGCCCAAGGACATTAGTAAATAAGGTTTAGGAAGTATAATGGTTCACTTCTTGAATTAGCTGTGTTTGATCCAAAATAGTATTTATAAGGATAGGAAAAAATTATGTTCGGACTAAATTGAAGCAAAGTTATATTGATCCAGTGCCTGCAAAAGCGTCCAAACAATAAAGTTAGAGCATCAAGTTAATAATACGATAGTTTAGTTTATGGTCGATGCGGAATACTCCTCTCGTCCTCCCCTGTTCACTGCCTTTTTTAACTAGTAAAAAAAAGGAGTAGATGGCATAAAAGGGATAAGTTGGTTAAGGAGATTTACTGTAAATAAACTGGTACTACCATCGCATGTTCGAATCATGCCTACCAATCAAATACATTTCTCTCCCGTTCCCTTTTCATCACTCTAGTTCATTCCCTTTCCCTTTCCCTTTCCCTTTCCCATTCCCTTTCCCTTTCCCATTCCCAACTAGTTGGGAATGGGAATGAACTAGTTGGGAATGGGAATGAACTAGTTGGGGCTGAATGAAAAGTCGGGGCTTGTTTTCAGCTAAAATTTTTAAAGCGAGTATACACTTCACTGGTATTTTATCGACCTGTGAGAGGGAAAAGCCTTAAGAATTTAAAAGTTAATCATCTGCTCTTTTTAAAACCTTCCTTTATATAAATAACGCGAATTGGTGAAAAGGTATCATCACTAGCTCATGCCTAGTAGTTCTGGGTTCAATTCCTGGATTCGCATATAGTAATAGGCGAGTAATCTAACAAAAACATGCCTGAAAGTGTGACCGCTTTTAATACTTAATTATTTACAATAGGAATAGCTGAGTAAAAAGCTAAGTGAAGAGTAAAATCATTATGATATAACTAAGAAATATTGCGCCCAGATTTCTTTACAGCTGTTTTTTCTAAAAAGGGCGAGTGGCCTTTTTAAAACTATGAGAAAGAAAAAAGAAAGAGAAGGGTCCGATTTATAGCGAGTGTATTTTATTAGCCTGGGGGACTGATAATCTAACGGTAGGATACCATCTTTTCATGATGGAGAGTGTCGGTATATGGTAGTAATGGGGGACTGGTAATTTAGTGGTAGAATACTACATTTTCATTGTAGTTGCGTAAGTTCGATTCTTATCCAGTCTAATCCACTTTTATACTGATCCACTTTATTCTAGATGTCAAGGATTAGGTTGGTAAGGGATTTATTTCCTTTCACTTCTCATCTGGGTGATGGGAACAAGAGTCGGGCGAGTACTATAATTGTTTACTTACCTACGTAATATGCAAGTACTTCAATTCCGCTAAATACAGCTGGTTTGTTGGATCTGGCGGACAGTCTCACTTCACGTACATATCAGTAGGGTTTCCATTCGATTCCTAAGTCCCTATTCGCTTTAGATTGTACTTCTGCCATACTCATGTAAGTAAATGATACACTATCACTCAATCGAGTTAACTTAACTCGAATTTCAACTTCCCAGATACAGGTTTACCTTCTCGGACATGCTGATAAACCTTTTCTATTAATGAATGATTATCGATTGTTTTAATGAATACAAAGTCTCTACTCATTTTAATTGATTTAGATTCACTTAAACATTGAGGATCTAGTAATAACCTGTAATTAGGTCTTTCAATTCCGCATGCCGTCGCAGCTTCAGGTAAGCTATTGTAATGAGCAATTTGATCTGTTTTCACATTGTATACTGTAACTTTTATAGGCTCCTTACGAGGCTCCCCTACTACTGTTTTAAATAAAGTGATAAACTCATCAGACGTAATAAGTTTCTCTTCACGACCTGTTAACAAGTTACGTGTGAATTCAAAGTCTTTTACAATACCTCCCTTATTAAGAATACTATCACATCAAGAGTCTGTATACCCTAATAGTCGGCCTACTTCTGCTAGATAACTGAACTTGTATAACAATACTTTGTTATAATAAACGTACACAGGTAGACCTTGTTTCAGTCGAATCGCCTGTAATTGTTCTTCAGTACGAATAGGATTAGTCATATTAGAAATTTTACTGTGGTTAATATCGGGATTATGCACAATAGTCAAGTACTGTTCAAACATAACTGTTAAATTCTCTGATCCATACCCTTTGGCAAAATCAGGGATATTAAATAAAGGATATAGATCGATAACGAAGCCTTCTTTGTTGTATTCCCGTACTCAACGCGGACAGGAACCGGTTGAAGAAGGTTTTAAATGAGACCAAGGTCTATCATTTAAATGTAATGCCCCTCCAACATAACAGGATTTACCTCTTCGAACAATATATACACCCGGTGTTCGTTCGTTTACACTACATTTCTTAGCACCTACTAGCATTCGTAGACGATACATATTTTCGTTATCACTAGAATGAATAGGATAAGGAAATTGCATTGGTGTAATGGTATCAAATCAGTCAAGAAGTTCCTGTGAAGCTGATACGTTGTCTGGTAAAGCCAATACAGTATTCAAAATAGTAGGAGTAGGTTTAACTCTTGTGCTAATGAACCGTTCCAAAATAATAAATGGGTTATTTGTACCTGCTTCTTTTTTCTACGAAAAAAGAAGCTGGTCCAACATCTAATTCGGCTGTCTCCCCAGGTACCGTTCAGGGTCTCATGTTGGTGGGAATGGTTTAAATGAACGAGAAGAAGTAGATAATCCACGTTTAAATAATGTATCAAAAGTGTTTTGAGTTGTATTTGGTGAAAAAGAGGTTGCTGATTTAATGGTATTATTAGTCTTGTTCAACACAGGTTCCATTTCGCTATCCTTTTTCCTTGGAAAGGGAAAGAAATGATGGGAAAAAGAGAAAATACTAACAACT